GGACGTTGGCCTTGGCGGGTCTGCCTAGGGCCAGCCAGTAGTGTGTGGGGTTTTGACTTCGAATAGGAAACATTTCACAGCATGAGTCTGGGTGAATTTCAGAGGACATTTATTAAAGCTGGGGACAGTGAAACAAGAAAGGGCTGGGGAAGTGAGCCTCGGCTGGTCTGCTTTGGCTCACTAAGTCAGAGAAAAGGGAACCTTGGGGACAGGTTCTGGGGTTTCCCCAGGATGAACTGCCTGCCCATTGCTGCCCTTTACAAGCCTTGTGGGGTCCCTTGGAGTTTAGAAATGCATGCCTGTGGGGACAGAGGGGGAGTGGGAAGTGTGCGCCTGCTCCTGGGAAGGAGTGCCTGTTGGACTTTCATTTTGAGGGGTTTTAAAGGCTGGGCGTTTAGGGGAAGTCTTAGAGGAAGATTAATAGAATATTCGTCTTTATGCTGATAGACCAGAATAAGATTTATTCTAACTTTTGTCCTTGGGTGTGGCTGGCAAATGGCACTAATTGGATTTCTGCTCTCAGTCTCCCTGAGTAGGGAGATTTAAGCTATTTACCCTCTGCTTGGGGAGAAGTGAAAACCAGTCAAGTGTCCTTTTCAGGGAAGATAGGATTTACTAGGTGACTGCAAACTGCTTGGCATCTAAATTTTCTAGATGGCTGTAAACTGCTGTGTAACTGTCTCCGTCTCCCTATTCCACTTGTCCTGGCTTACTGACCTGTCTCATTCCGCCCTCAGAGAGTTCCAGCCCTAAAATCTTTCAGGGGTGATGAGGAAGGTCTACCTTCAGTAACTGTTTCCTGCTGATAGGGGCTGTGGTCCTTGACTATATAGGGTATGGAGGTCTCTTCCTGCCTGATCTAAGGGGGAAAATGGAATGAAATCAGAGGTTGGAATAGACAGGCTGTTAGCTGGTTTCCCAAAGTAGGAATAGGCTGGAGTCCCCAAAGCATCATCATCCTGACATGGAATTGCTGTATCATTCCAGAAGCGAAGTTGGTAGAGTGTTCCATACTTTACTGACTCAATTATTTAGTCCTGAAAATAAGTCAGTTTAAATTGTTGAGTCTTATTTCAGGAGGCAGTAATGCTGATGGGTTTTCAAAGAGAGACCTATATTGTGTAAGCAAGCAATCAGGTATTTAATAAGGAGTGTCTATGAAAATAGAAGAAAAAAAGGTTAATGACGACAGCAAATTATAAGCCGGTTTCTAGGTCTAAGATTTTCAGTCAAGAAGGCTTAAAGTTTCTTTTGCTGGAATAAAAGTAAGCAGTGACAATTTGACAGATTTTTTAATTTGTAGTTTACATATTTCTGGTGATGTCGTCAGATGTTCAGGTAGATTCTGTATGGTTGGCACTGCATTAGTTCTCAATAATTCTAAGTCAAAGGATGGGAGAAAAATAAAACACTAACTTGGAGGGTTGAAGACAACTAGAATTCAGGAATTTGTTCAGTTTATAGACTAAAAACAAAATTTTAAACTTTGAAGACAATTAATTGCACTACAGTCCAATATTCACAATTTGGCATTGTGATTTTTATTGAAACACATTTTTTCCCCTAAAGTTATTTCATTTCTCATTAAAGAGACTGTATTAAGTCCCATTTTAATTTCACCTGATTATTTGCATAAATACAAGAGTAGCATTGATTATATAGACTTTTTAAAATCTTTGTTGGAATTTCACTTAAAGGAATCTTTAGATTGAGCTTGTCAGCCCCAAAGGGCGCAGAAGCCAAGCCACACAGTTGCCATCTGGCTTTGCCAGCAGTACCTATAGGGTGGATTTTTCAAGTTCTTGAGGTCCCCAAAATGTCTTCAGGTTCTTTTTTTGGCATCTTTAAGGAAAGCAGTCGTTCCTTACTTGGAAAGACTGCTATGAACCATGTAAATAAGCAAGGTATCAGGCCATTTTTCCAAAGAGCTTTTATTGGCTTTAAAGTCAATTTTTATTTTTTAAAGCTTTTTGGGTGACATCCAGAGTCCAGGAATGTCTCTCTTGATTATAACATTCTAGTCAAAGACTTGGTTAATAAAACCACAATTGGAACCTGGTTTTATGTGTCCTATTATAAAGAGAACAGATTCTTATTAGACTTGTGTAAATGTATTATCATGAAAATAATACTCCTTGAAGAGTTACCAAATTTTGGAGGGATTAGGTAGGGAGAAAAATATAAATGCTTCAATGTTGTTTATGAGGGTATAATTTACCAAACTGTTCTGGGGGGGGGGGACGGGACACAAGTTTTCTAATATCTGGAAAACAAAAAGATTTCTTTTAAAAATCAGCAATATTTTGAACAAAGTCATAACAATAATAATTCTCAGTTCATTCAGTCCCATATAACAAATTTTTGTCCTGATTATTTGCCAGTATTTCCATGAATCCAGTTATTCTGTAGAGTTCTATAAATCTTTATCTATTTCAAAGAGATGACCTGCTTAGAAATCTGTAATTTAGAGTCAGAGTCCTTTTCACAAGTTTTTCCAAAATGTAACATATTTGTAAATGTATCAGAGTAAAATAATGACTGTCTATAAATGACAAAACTTAAAATGGCATGGTTATAGACTTGATTATAATGTAATTGATTTTAAAAAGTTGTTTTTGTAAGATATACTATTCCAAGATAACAATTTTTGGTAAATAATTATTATGAAATGACATAAAATAATATAAAGTTTAGCATTTTTAGATTCAATACACAATTTTAATATATAAAGAACAAATAATATGTAAGATTTTAAAACACTGCACATGGATTATTGGAACTGTGCATTGAGTACTGGAAGCAATTCATAAATGCCTCACTGTGTGGACCAAAAACACTGAGCCAAACCCGCCAGGGCACATTTAAGCCTGTTATCCCTTTTGAGTTTGCTCTTGTGTATGATGTAAGTTGGTGGTCTAGTTTCATATTTTTTTGCATCTACTTTTCCAATTTTCCCAACACCATTTATTGACAAGACTGTCTTCACTTCATTGCATGCTCTTGCCACCTTTGTCAAATATTAATTGACCACAAAGGGGTCGGGTAAATTTCTGGGCGCTCTGTTCTGTTCCATTGATCTATATTCCTGCTCTGATGCCAGCACCAGGCTGTTTTTATTCCAATGGCCTTGTAGTATAGTATGATATCAGGTATTATGATACCTCCAACTTTGTTCTTAAGATTGCTGAGGCTATTCAGCATCTTTTTTGGTTCCACATAAATTTTTGGAATATTTGTTCTAGATCTGTAAAATATACCATTGGTATTTTTTAAAAATAGGTTTTTTATTGAGCTGTAGCTGGTTTGGCTCAGTGGTTAGAGTGTCAGCCCATGGGCTGAAGGGTCTTGGGTTCGATTCTGATCAAGAGCACATACCTTGGTTGCAGGCTTGACCCCTGGCCCAGGCTGGCGCTCGTGTGGGAGGCAACCAATCGGATATATCAATGTCTCTCTCTGTCTCTCTCTCTCTCCCCCCCTTCCACTGTCTCTGAAAAGCAATGGAAAAANCATCAATGTCTCTCTCTGTCTCTGTCTCTCTCCCCCCCTTCCACTGTCTCTGAAAAGCAATGGAAAAAATATCCTCAGGTGAGGATTAGAAAAATATATATATGTGTGATTTTTATTGATTTTAGAGAAACAGAAAGAGGAATAGAGAGAAACATCAATTGGCCCCTTCCTGTGTGCCTCCCACTGGGGATTGAGCCCAAAACCTGGGCATGTGCCCTGACCAGGAATTGAACCTGAGACCCTTCAGTGCCTGGGCCAACGCTCTACCACTGAGCCAAACACGCTAGGGCTGAAGTGCTTTATGTTCGAGTAACCCTTACGGTAGCCTAATGCTCCATCACAATGCCTACGCCATCCACCTCACTTTGTCTCATCACACAGGCATTTTATCATCTCACGTCATCACAAGGGTGAGCACAGTACCAGAAGAACACGTTCACATAACTTTTATTACAGTATACTGTCAGAATTTTCCTGTTTTATTATTAGTTATTGTTGTTAATGTCTTACTGTGCCTAAGTTTATAAATTAAACTTTATCATAGGTATGTAGGTATAGAAAACACATAGTATATACAGTAAGTCCTCACTTAACATCATCCATAGGTTCTTGAAAACTTCAGGTTGAAACAATGCATGATGAAACCATTTTACCACGGGCTAATTGATGTAAACAAGAGTTACATTCCTACAGCACATTTCTGGTCACAAACACATCGCCCAACTTCTAAATAAAGACCCAAAACACTTCTATTAAGCACTGAAATAAATAGCTATATGTACATTTAAGAAAGATTAATAAAAACAAGTAAGATGATCCTTTTCCAGCCTGCTTATTCCAGTTCAGGGTCCGAGGAGGCGAGAGCCTATTCCAGTAGCTCAGGGCGAACAGCGGCACTCACCCTGACAGGCCACCTTCCCGTTGCAGGGCGCACTCACCCCCACATCCACTCAGCCTGGGACAATTTAGAGGCCAGTCACCTCGTGTGCACATCTTTGGGATGTGGGAGGAAACCAGTGCCCAGAGAAACCCATGCAGACATGGGAGAATGTGCAGACTCCACGAACGGTGGCTCTGGCGGGGAATCGTGTTTTCTCGTTGACATTGCAGCGGTGTGACATGACACGAGGAACTACGGCGGTTTCAGGCACTCACGGGGGCCTGGGAACGTATCCTCCGTGGACAGCGAGGACTGCTGCACATCATGCCACTCGGTATCGGGCTGGCGATTTTCTTTGGGCTCCCTCACTCAACTGGAATCTCTGCGAGGTAAGGACTAGGTTTTATATATCACTACACAAAACCGAGGGCAGTCAATTACTCAATTCACACCACACCTGCCCGTGCTCATGACGTTAAGAGCCGAAGAACAGTAAGAGAAGCCAAGCGAGAGTCTACCTCAAATATTGGCTCGTGGTTTGGAGTAGAGAATTCATTCAGCTCTCAAAGAGCTCTACAATCTGTATTCTAGAGGTTGCTGTTATTGACTCATATTCTTTACAACTTTTATTTATTTTTTATTGAAAAGTAGCAGTTTAATCCCTACCTGTAACATGATTAACAATACTTTGTCTTTAAGTAGGGGTTTACAAAGTTACAAATTTTATATCACTAAATCCTACCATGTTATAAAGTCCTGAATAGAGAAAAATGTGTTTAAATTAATTTATAGATGGTTAAAACAAAGGCATATAAAAAGAACAACTGATCTTTCCGAAATCACATAATTCTCGACTTTCTTTTCAATGATGTATGCTTGTTTTCTACAGTGTGTACTTTACAGAAAACCTAAATAAACTTTTAGGTCAAGAAATGTGACTTGATTCATTAAAAAATACATTTGTATGGCCCTGGCTGGGTGGCTCAGTTGGTTAGAACATCGTCCTGTACACCAAAAGGTCATGGGTTCAATTCCCAGTCAGGGCACATACCTAGGGTGCCGTTTGGATCCCCAGGCAGGGCGCGTGTGGGAGGTGACCGATCAATGTTTCTCTCTCACATCAATGTTTCTCTCTCTCTCGCTCTCAAATCAATAAACATATCCTTGGGTAAGAATTAAAAAAACCCAAAAACCTATCTGTAAGTATTGTGTATTTTTAGCTGTACTTTATGAACATTCTCAAAGATTCCCATGCCTCAGTCAGCTTCCTGGCATAGGTCCATTTCATTTATGTAATAATAAATAATAAATCAGCATTTTGTTGATTTAAGGTTTTCATCCAAAAATTCAATAATGGCTTCTTCCTCTGCTGATTGAAGCAGTCGCTGAATTAGCTGATCCAGGCACTTCTCCCCACATAAAAATTTCTGGTAAGAGAGTTACGAAGATCTGATTAGTAGAAATAAAGAAGAAATGAAGCAAAGACTTAAGTGTATATTTATTTCGTCTCTTTACAGTCATTGTTTAATAGCAACAAAGAATTATTAATCTATAATATAATGACTACAACTGCTAACTTAGAAGGATGCTCACTGTTATTGAGTCATATTCTTCATTTTTATTGAAAAGTAGCAGTTTAAGCCTAAGTGCAACATAGTTAATAATACTTTGTCTTTAAATGGGGGTTTACAAAGTAGTTGAAAAATCTTACATCACTAAATTTTACCATGTTATAAAGTCCTGAATTAACAGATGGAAAAAAGTGTTTAATTTTAGATGGGAAAAAAAGGCATATAAGGAGAACAAGTAACCTGTCCTATACCACATAACTCTGGTTAGTATGGCTTTTTATGTAAAAAGTGAATGCAAAATAGTAAATAGAATTATATTCTATCTTTTTTTTTTTTTAACCCCCTCACCTGAGGATATCTTTTCCATCGCTTTTCAGAGACAGTGGGAGGGAGAGAGAGAGAGAAACATGGATGTGAGAAAGACACACCGATTGGCTGCCTCCCGCACACATCCCTACCAGGGCCAGGGATCAAGCCTGCAACTGAGGTATGTGTTGTTGGCCAGAATCGAACCCAGGATCCTTCAGTCTGAGGGCCGACGCTCTAACCACTGAGCCAAACCAGCTAGGGCATATTCTATCTTAAATTGTTTAAATTTGTATTTTGTTTAAAAATCAATCTTGTAGAATTTGGATTTTTCCAATAACTCTGGAGACAACAAAACAGAGATCTGAATCATCTTTTGAAATTTACCATCCCCCTCTCTTGAATATTCCTCTCTGCTTGACTTTTCTGACAAAACAGTTCTAAGTTCTCAAACCACCTTAGGGAGGATATATTTGCTGAATCCTTTCTCCTCTTGTACCCTAGAAAAATAAGGCTTCTTATTCTTGTCCTGAAAATGCCATCCTCTTCATTCAGATCACGTTATTTCACAAGGGAAAAGACGACTGAAATGCCCTAATGCCCCAGGCATCCTGTTGCCAGGCTAAAGTACAGACTGTTCCTTGACATCCTCTGCCTTGCCGAATACTCTGGACCTGGCTCAGCTAAAGCCCCCCAGAACATTCCAGCTCACACATCTCATGCCAACCCCCCCCAAATTTAAATTACTTAATCCACCCCTAGCTGGTGTGGCTCAGTGGTTAGAGGGTCAGCCCTTGGACTAAAGGGTCCTGGGTTTGATTCCAGCCAAGGGCACGTAACTCAGTGGCAGGCTCGATCCCTGGCCCTGGCTGGGGCTCATGCGGGAGGCAACCAATCGATGTGTCTTTCTTACATCACTGTTCTCTCTCCCTCCCTTCTACTCTCTCTGAAAAGCAATGGAAAAAATATCCTCCAGTGAGGATTACAAAAAATAATAAAATAAAATAAATTCCTTAATCCATAAGTGGTTTATAATTGTTTTTTTTTTCTTTCTTAAACTGGAAATACTGTACAGGAGTCTTAAAATCCGGAAGTCTTGTGTAATAAAAAATATTTACGCTTGAATATTTAGGGGACAAGTATCTTGAGGTGTACAACTTGCTTTCAAATGGTTTGATAGCAATACTGGTGTGTATAGAGAGAGAGTGGAGGAAGAGAAGGCAGACACAGCAAAATGTTCACAACTGTTGCATCTAGGTACAGGGTGTATATTGAACATGTCTTTAAACGTGTGCTTGAAAATTTCAAAATAAAAAGTTCAGAAAATTTTTTCTCTCTTATGTTAACCTCCAAATAATTCCACTGAATGAACACTGTTTCAATTAGACCTCCCTATAGTCTTCCATAAAGTCCCTTTCCGAGAAATGACTAAAATGATAACTTCAAGTACGTTTCCGGTGTTAAAGAAGTTTTGTTACAGTTGTTGGCATCAATGAATTAGCACATTCTCATATTTTAGAAATGCTCAAAGTCCAGACATTGGTTTCATGGAAATATTTTAATGTGGGCATCCAGAACACAGAACATTTAAAGTTTTGCTGTTGGCATGAACTATCTTACATTTAGTCTTTCCTGAATGGTCTTAAAGTTGAATTTTAGGTTAAGTGTATACACTTAAGTTATCTCTCAAGTTAAACTGTAGGGGGAAAGAATGCCTTACTATCTTTGTATTCCACTAAACACTGGCATATAGTGAAACTTAATAAAACTTAAAAATTAAACAGAAAGTAAAAGCACTATAATGAAAATTTTTAATTAAGATTTATACACTTTGAGCATAATATGAAAATTTCTTATAAATTTAGTGTGTCTGGATCTCAAATTATTATAGCATTGTCACGGTGACTTTTTCATTTGGAAATTATGTAGCTAGGATTATGTCTTCCTAATAACCACATCACATTCACAGCTCAATTGGATTAACTTGAGTGCTAAAGATAAAATGATTAAAGAGGAAGGAGCTATAGTTCCTACTTTTCAGAAGCTCATAATTTAGTGGGGAGCTAGGCAATAGGTATGCATCATAATATTGTGCAAAAAACTTAAAAATAAAGAAGGTTTTGCGCTGGTCGTGTGGGCCTCTGGATAGAGTGTCAGCCTCACACTGAAGGCTCTCTGGTTCGATTCCCAGTCAAGGGCACGTATCTAGGTTGCAGGCATGTTCCCTGGGCACAGGCGGGAGGGAACCAATCAATGCCTCTCTCTTTCTCTCTCCCCCTTTCTCCCTCCCACTCTATCAAAGAAAAGAAGAAAGGGTCTTAAGGGAGCCATTATTTTGGAAAGAAGGTGTCATCAGGGAAAGAAAAAGTTTGAATTAGATCTTAAAAATCAAATAGTATTTCTCCAACAGAGACAAGCAGAGCATTATAGTCAAAAGAATCAGGAGATTAAAGATGGTGGCAGACTGAGGGGAAGCTACACTGACACTCTCCCAGGACCAAACTGNAGATGGTGGCAGACTGAGTGGAAGCTACACTGACACTCTCCTGGGACCTAACTGGAATTACAACTAAAATAGAGAAAAACCACCCCGAATAATCAACTGCGACTGAAGACTAGCTGGAGAGCACACTCATAACCAAGGAGGAAAAGTGGAGCCCCCATAGAGACTGGCAGGAAGTGAGGAGGCACAAGAGGGTGGGCAGCAGCTAAAGGTCCAGAGGGAGATCTCAGCTGAGGGGGTTCCCACTGAGGACTCTGGGGCCTAAACCCCAGGCTGGGCTTCCCAGCCAAGAGCACCAGAACTGAGGAAGGTGCTCACATAACATCTGGCTGTGAAAAGCAGCCAGGTTTCTGTCTGGCAGAGAGAAATGGCTGGAAATTCAAGCACCCTCTTAAAGAGCCAACACACACAATTTTGTGTGCAGCCACTCACCTTGGGCTCCAGCAGAGGGAGGGAAGAGTAGACTGGAGCAGTGTGAGGAGAATCCTGGATTGCTGGCTTGGGGAACAGAGCTCAGAGGGCAGCCATGTGGATTCCTGTGCCAAGTCATTCCCCCATACAGCAAAGGGTATCTTACCCAGGCAGACATTTACCATCTAAGCAGCTTTTGCCTGGGAGTGGAAGCAATTGCCCCACCCCATGGTAGTTTCTATAGCCTGAGGCTCATTAAGAGACTGAATAACAATCACCCTCTGGGTGCTTTGGGTCTTTGCCTGATTTGTTTCTGGACACAGGGCTTGGGAAAGCAGACCTTGGTGAGCATTTTGGTCCTGTCCAAATACACCCAGCCCCCAGCCCCAGCAGAGGGAACAACAAGCTGTGGAGTGTGGAAAGCTTTAAACAGGGTACTCAAGGCCAGTCACAAACAGCATCTGACATTGGCCTGGACCAGAGACCCTCCAAAAGACTGGGAGTCTTAGCAGATCTACCTAATACAAAGAAATAAATCCAAATAGGCAGTCAAAGTGGGGGGACCAAAAAACCCCAAAAAACAAGTCCCCAATGAAAGAACAAAAGAATTCTCCAGAAGAACTAAATGAAATAGAGATAAGCAATCTATCAAATACAGAGTTCAGAATACTGATCATAAAAATGCTCAAAAGCATGAGAAAAGAAATTGAAACTATGGAGGAAATTAAGAAATAAAGAGAATGAGAAACATAGGCATAAAGAAATAAAATGGCAATAGTACATACCTATCAATAATAACCTTAAATATAAATGGATTAAATGCTCCAATAAAAAACCATAGGGTAGCTGAATGGATAAGAAAACATGACCCCGCCTGGCCAGCATGGCTCAGCGGTTAGCATCAACCTATGATCCAAGAGATCTTGGTTTCATTCCTGGTCAGGGTACATGCCTGGGTTTGGAGCTCAATCCCCAGAAGGGGGTGTGCAGGAGGCAGCCGATCAATGACTCTCTTCATCACTGATGTTTCTGTCTCTCTCTCTCTCCCTTCCTCTCTCTGAAATCAATAAAAATGTGAAAAAAAGAAAATATGACCCAAATATATGCTGTCTACAAGACACCCACCTTAGAACAAAAGACTCACACAGGCTGGAAAAAAAAATCCACAAAAAAAACTTCTGGAGGATTTTAAAGGAGAGATGGGCCGCAATACAGTCATAGTAGGAGACTTTAACACCCCACTAACTTACTGGATATTTCTTCCAGACAAAAAAAATTAACAAGAAAACAGTGACTCTAACTGACACACTAGATCAGATGGATTTAACTGATATTTACAGAATATTTCACCCCAAAGCTGCGTAATAGGCATTCTCCTCAAGTGCACATGGGACATTCTCAAAGACAGACCACATGTTAGGACACAAAACAAGTCTCTACAGTTCAAGAAGAGTGAAATCATACCAAGCATCTTCTTGGACATTTACACCATGGAATATTATGCAGCTGTAAAAAAGAAGGATCCCTTACCCTATGAGACATCATGGTGGGACCTGGAGAGTATTATGCTAAGTGAAATAAGCCAGTCAGGAAAAAGAGAAGTATCACATGACCTTACTCATATGTGGAACCTAATGAACAAAATAAACTGATGAACAAAATAGATCCAGAGACATAGAAGCATGGAACATACTGACAAATTTCAGAGGGAAGGCAGGGGTGGCTCGGTGAGTGGGGAGAGATTAACCTAAGAACTTATATGCATTTATGCATAACCCACAGACACAGACAATAGTGTGGTGAAGGCCTGGGGGGAGGAGTACAGGATGAAAGGGATCAATGGGAAAAAAAGGGGGACATTTGTAATACTTTCAACAATAAAGATAAGTAAACTTTAAAAAAAAGAAAAAAAATACACATAAAAAATATGCCAAGAGTAATGAAAATTACTGTTTCATAGTAATAAAAAATGAATGAAAAAAATATGGAATACGTATGAAGAAAGACCTGGAAACAAAGTATAGGTGACTCTTAACAACATGGGCTTAAACTGAGTGGATCCACTTACATGCAGATTTTTTTCAAATATATTGGCAAATCTTTTGGAGATTTGCTACAATCTAAAAAAACTCACAGATGAACCTTATGATTTTCTTAATAGCATTTTCTTTTCTCTAGCTTACATTATTACAAGAACATGGTATACAATGCATATAATGTATTATGTGTTAATCAACTGTTTATGTTACTCGTAAGGCTTCTGGTCAACAGCAGGCTTTTCGTAAAGTTTTGGGGGAGTCAATCAAAAGTCATAAATGGATTTTTGAATGCATGAGGGCTCATCATCCCTAACCCCTGTGTTGTTCAAAGGTCAACTGTACATTAAGGCGCAAGGCAGGGGAAATTTCCAGTGTAAATGGAATATAGGACAAGAAGTAGGCTGATGCTAAGAAATGTGTGCAAGGACTTTGAGAAACAATAAAAATACAAAATAGTGTATCACATGGAAGCCTGTACTTATAATCTACATAACTAAAAATAAAAATACCTACAAGGGAATTCATAGGAACACTGGGTGACCTTACAGACACCAAGGGTAGGGAGGTACAGGGCTGCTGCCACCACCCTGGCAATGCAGCTGGGCCTCAGGAGTAAATGAATATGGGAATTCATCTCATTAGGATATTTTCCATCCAGTTCTCATTTTTGCCCCTTTCACTATATCAGCTTCATTCTTTTCTCACTGAAGATTGCTTTCTCTCCATGGCTGGAAATGTGGCTTCTAACCTCTTGTAAACTTATGTATTCAGCTTTAGTCACCAAGGGAGAGGATGACCCTCTGTGTTTAAAAATCCTGGGAAGGAACTTATTGGCTAGGACGTGTTCAAACTTCAAACAAATCAAGTATCGTCTTGGGTCAGGGTCATGATCATGTAAGAACATAGCAGTTCCATCAGGAACTATGTGGGTGGAGTAGAGAGAAGGTCTAGATAATAAGGAGAGAACAGAGTCCCACAGGCATCCACTTTCTTTTCTCTCCACTCCTTCCATTGTCTTATAGTAGTTGCCCTGGGGTTAAGGCCCTTGCCACTTTTCTTGCCACTTTCACAACTATTCAGTTACTTAACTATTCAGTTCCTAAACTAGTGTCTTTCCTGCATGCAGACTTTAATGCTTTACTACAACACTTTTTATGCCATTTTTTCCTTTCACTAATATGGAATGTTTTCTTTTTTTCCAATAAGCTGGTTAGTGATTATTAGAGCATACCAATATGATTTTCCTTGTAATTTCTGATTCTGATGTGCTTGTTTGGTTAGTAATAACATGTTACTATTTAGGCCAAAGTCAGATATTTTATAACTATAAAAGCCAGTTAACCTGCTTCCGTTTCATGGCGAAATACTATACCGAGCACCTATGTGCCCTTCTAAAATATATTACTAGTTATAAGAATGTCACTGTCTCATAGAAAATCATCACCACTACTAGAAAAATAACTGAAAGATTGTGGTGTAATTAGAACAATATGATCAAATGTGTTTGGTTATTACGGTGTGTTTCCTGAGGAAAGGGAAGTTGGCAAATATTTTCTCCTTTTCGACAAGGCACTTAGGTTCCTATGCAAGGCAGCCTTAAATTGCTGAGAAAACAGAGGAAATGGCATAAGACACACAGAAATTTCTAAATACTAGAAAATGTAGCCCTGGGTAGCTCAGCTGGTTGGAACACAATCCCGATACAACAAGGTTGCAGGTTTCATCCCCAGTCAGGGCACACACAAGAATCAACCAATGAATGTATAACTACGTGGAGCAACAAATCAATATTTCTCTCTCTCTCCCCTTCCTTAAAAATCAATCAATAAATAAGTAGACATTTCCTTTGTAAAATTAGAACTTTAATTTTGAGTACAAAATAGACTAGAATCAAGTGACAGAGCCCCTAGGTATCCCTGCACCAAGGAAAGGATAAAAACTGTGTCTCCTGCTTTTTCCACGCAGTCCTGTAAAGGACCTAGTTCACTGAGCCCTCAGTGGACGCAAAAGGGAAATTTTTCTGTGCTTCATCATTAATGTACTAATGTCAGCGGTCCTGGCCAGATGGGATTTAGTAAGGTTAACATTCGAACCAAACTGACATTGTCTTTTCCTCAACATTATAACTGTAACACCTCAATCTAATGAATACACATTTGTGGTGCGCAGGCACATAAGATGCCTTCTAGTGCACACACCTTGCATAATTCCCTCCCTTAACTGCAGGCAAAAACCGTGGCTATGATGGAATATCACTCCAGTGATTAGGCTGACTTTAAGTTAAAAAGGAGTGTTACCCAGGTGGGCCTGACCTAAACATGTGAGCACTTAAAAGGGCCTGAGCCATTTCTGCAAAAGGTTCAAAGTGGGAGAGGGCATGTGTAGGGACCATATGGCAAGTAACTGCATGGGTCCTGAAGAGTAGCGAGCAGCATCGCCCAGCTGATGGCCAGCAAGAAAATGGGAGCCTCTCTCCTACAACGGAAGGAAATGGAATTCTGTCAACCACATGAGCCCAGAAGAGGGCTCTAAGCTCCAGAAAGGTATGCGATCTGGCCAACACCCTGATTTCAGCCTTGTGAGACGTGGAGCAGTGAACTCCGCTCTGTCATGCCCAGAGTTTGTGGTACTTTGTTACGCAGCAATAGAAAACTGATACACATGTATACAGTCATATGCTGCATAGCACCACTCCAGTCAACAGCAAACTGCAATTCAACAGTGGTCCTATAAGATTACAATGGAGCTGAAAAAATTCTCATCACCTAGTGACATCATAACGTTGTAGCCCTTTTATGGTACTAGCACAACGAATTACTCATGTGTTTGTGGTGATGCTTCTGCAAACACACCTACTGTGCTACTAGTCGTATAAAAGTAGCACATACAATTATGTGCAGTACATAGTGCTTATTAGTAATAATAAACTATGTTACTGGTTTATATATTTACTGTACTATACTTTTAATTGTTATTTTTAGAGTGTACTCTTTTTCCTGATTAAAAAAAATGTTTGCTGTAAAACAGAATGCCCGGTTACACTGGCAGCAACCTCCTACATCTCGTGTTTACCATGTCTCTTGATTGCAGCATTTAATTTTGTGCTTGATGTAATCTCATGTTGTTTTGTACAGTAACATGCTGAAAAGGCTTACAGCCTAGGAGCAATAGGCGCTCCATATAACTAGGTGTGTAATAGCCTATATCATCTAAATTTGTGTAAGTACACTCTCTGATGTTTGCACAACGATGACATCACATAATGATGCATTTCTCACAACATATCCCCCTGGTGAAGCGGTGCATGGCTATATTTAAAATATGTTAATACATTGTGGCTGCATAACAAAAAAATTAGAATTTACAAGATAGCTGTTCCAAACTGGCATAAAGACCATGTTTCTTACCAGCAAACTAATAAAAATGTTTGCAAATTTTAGGGGACTACCTAACATAAACTGGCTTAGTGATTTTAAATTACTTGCTGATATTCAGACATTACTGTCTAGAATTGGACTATACTTTCTTCAAAAGTCGAAGGTACATAAAGCATACTCAGTGATAGTACCTTAATATCACGAACTTCATATGCTATCCTGTGGTCAGTGACTCTGTCCTGGGTGAAATTATATGTCCGAATTCTCTCTGACTGGGCTCTTGTTCCCACCTGTGCCATAATAAAAAGCAAGTCATATTTTAACTTTAAGATTACCTCTTTTACAATAAAGAACAGTACTTGTAAATTACTTTCCTATTTTAACAGTTTAAATATTTTCTAAAGTTATATATACAAAGTAGCAAAGAGCAAAAATGAGCAGAACTTAATGTTTAAGACTACAGGTTTTAAAGCTTAGTTATGGGAAAAGAATTTACATCTCTTTGGTACTTCAAACTCCGTATGTATAAAACCAAATTATCTTTCCACCCCAATCAGTTCTTCCTCCTGGTTTCTATAAATGACACCACAATGTTCCCTTTGATCCAAGTAGAAAACTCTGACATCCTGCAATATAACAAACATTTCACGGGAGCGTACTATCTGCCAGGCTTTGATATAGACACTGATGCCACCTTCAACTCATCCCATTCTCTAACTGCCCACTTCCAATGGCTCCAAGGGTCTCTCATTACATCCTGCCCTTTCTGTTTCTACTATCGTTCAAGGCTCATTACTTCCCATAAAATCTCCTGATTAATCTTGCAATTCTCTGCTGACATTGTGTTACCCTGCTTAGTTAGCCTTCCTGAAGTAGTTTTCTGATCAATTTTCTTCTTTGGTTCCTTATCTTCTAAGCAGACATGACTCAACTCAGAATTCAAGGCACTTCATAATGTGGCCAACTTCCCCAATGTTATTTCTGAAAATGATGTGTACCTCATAATGCTATTTATTGTACCATATCATTAATATGTGTGCCCGTGAACTCTGCTAAAACCTCATCTCAATGGATGCCCTTTCCTAACCATCTCTGCCACCTCTGCCAGTCCTGGTCCCAACAATGGAAATATGATACCTGCCTTCTTTGAAACTGCACACACTTGGAATCTTCACACACCAAAGTTTGCCTTATGCTGTGGTTATCTGTAACCTTCTTAGTCTGTGCATCTCCCTTACTTCCGCAGCATACAATATCCTCTCTCTCACTTCACTTTTTAAGACAAGAAAGACATTTCTGTAACTTATTTTCTAAAGCAAATAATATAAAACAAAACTCCTAAATACAGCTGATCATCAGGAGAGTTTTAATTAAAGATTCCAAAGCCCAAGCTCAGACATACTGAATCGGGGATTGTACATTTTTAAAACATTTCCTACCCATCATTCTGTAACCAGCCAAGTTCGGAAACTACTATCTCAAAGCACAGTATCAATGCCCACGACCCTACCCAGATCAACTACAGCAGAATTTCTAAGAGTGAAGCCTAGGCACCTGCAAAGCTCTTCAGGTGATAAGTGGAGCCAGGGCTCAGAACCTGGCATAATGCCTTCCACATAAAAGCTACTGTATGTATTAGCTGAAGAAAAACTCTAAGCATTAGAAGTATCAACTAAGAAAATTTCAAACAGATGGACAAGTTAATTGGGAAGCATTCTGGATTCCACTTTTTCCCCACTCTCTCTCAAAAACAAACTACTTTTTTAAAAATTTAAAATCATACAACACTTTGTTTACCTAAACTCTTTTCTGGTTTCTCAAAACAGATGAAGAAGATATACAATTTGTGTAAGGCCAATGTTGAATACTTATTTTAAAAATTACTATGTGAAACGTCTAGTCCCAAAATGTCAAATGGAAAGTAAATCCCAATGTTTTTCATTAAATCAAATGTGGCAGTTTTCACAATATTTATGGTATCACTTATTAGCCAAGAAGTAATGGTTTGTAAATGAGCATTCCTGCCTGTAAATGTATACACTTGGTGCTGTGCCAACCTGGGGTTACCACTAACAGAAGATTAATATATTATTTATCCTGTTGCTTTAGCTACGTGCAAATTAGAATGTGGTTAAGGGAAACTAGAAGGGCAGAGGTGAGAAAACACTAGGCAAAAAAAACAATGTTTAGTTTTATGCAACTGATTATCCTAAAGCCACAAAATCTTCCAAATTTACTGATGCATACAGATCTAAGAACAGTTATTTCTGGATTCCACTTTTTCTTCCACTCTCTCTCAAAAACAAACTACTTTTTTGGAATTTAAAATCATACAACACTTTGTTTACCTAAAACAATGATATTTATTCATTTTGCTTAGAACTCATCTACTTATATATTTGAAGAAATAATACTGTGCATGTACACAGTACAAAATTCCAAAAGTATAAAAAGGCATATAATGAAAAATAAATCTTCTACTCCCTGTCCCCAGGCTCCATCTAGCAATCACTGTTACCAGTTTTTTGCAGTGCCATTTATTTTTGATCTCACATAAAGTTATAATAAAAGCACAGGTTTTCAGATTTTAAAAATCTAAAAATCTCTTAATTTCCAGAGAATTACGTTGTCTTTTACACTAATTTCCTTTCAAAACAGTTATGATAGAGTCCTAGCCAGTTCTGCTCAGTGCTGAGAGCACTGGTCCCGATTTGGACTTTGGCCGAGGGCATGCACCTCGGTTGCAAGCTTAATCCCCAGCCCTGGTCAGGCCACATGCCCGAGGCAACCAATTGATGCGTCTCTCTCACATTGATGCTTCTCTCTCTCTCCCCCACTCCCTCTGAAAAGTAACGGAAAAAATATCCTTAAGTGAGGATTAAAAAATAACAACAAATAAATAAACAACTTAAAAAAAGTTATGTGTAACCACTGGAGAGAAACAACTGGGAAATAATTTTTAGTTTACGCATATGTCATCTACTCATTTGCAAGCGGGCATGTCCAATTTTAGTCATAATCTGTCAGTTCAAATGCATTTAAAATTATTGCTTATTTACAAATGAGCATGTTTCCCTATGCTCTAAGAGTTTTCCATTTGATCAAAAACAAATACTATGTTTTCCACATAAAACTTTTTGTACAGAGGTATTAAATTATTACACCAAACAAATCTTACCTGCAGTTTTCTAGCACTTTGTTGTTGACACTTGTCTTTCTCAATAATCTGCTGGTAGAGTTTAGCTCTCAACACACGCAAAGCTATTTCTTTATTTTTTATCTGTGATCGTTCTTGTTGGCATTCTACTACAAGCCCTGAAAAATAACAGGGGTCAGAGGTAAGCTGTAGCCTCCACAAGCCAAACTAAGATAGAAGTGAGGTGTCAGCCATGTAGTTCAATAAAATTGGGGGGAGGGGTTGAGACTTGAGGACTATTTTAAAGGGGGAAAGGTTAATCAGGGAAAGATCACCAAGATTAAATACACTTTATTATTTTATTTTATTTTTTTTATAGTAAGTTGCATTTAAAAAAAAAATCTTTATTGATTTCAGAGAGAGGAAGGGAGAGGAAGAGAGATAGAAACATCAATGATGAGAGGTAGTCATTGATTGGCTGCCTCCTGCATGCCCCCCACTGGGGATCAAGCCCACAACCCGGGCATGTGCCCTGACTGGGAATCAAACTACGATCTCCTGGATCTAAGGTCGATGCTCAACAGCTGAGCCATGCCTAGCCAGGCGCATTAAATACATTTTAGATTTAGCATACTTCAGAAATTACACCTGTTTCTCTTTCACATTTCTCTCTCTTTCCCCCTTCCTCTCTCTCTAAAAGTTAATTAAAAAAACAACAACCAATGCTCAGGTGAGGATTAAGAAATTGTTTTTTTAAGTTATAGGCAGTAATAGTACTAAGTGGTATTTAACATATATTTGCTGAATAACTATGTATGTTATTTAAAAGATTTTCAATTATAAATGAGAACAAAAATACCATATTTTTATTCTAAAAAGCCCTTAAATTTTCTTTAACTTCTTTGAAATTGAATTGCATCTTACAATCATTGGCATGTCATATAATTGGCAGTGTTTTTTATGTTTCTTTATGGAAATAAAAGTCGTGTGTTTTTCAATGAATAGGTTCTTAAATCAGATGAAATGTTATATATAATCAAAGATTAAATAACAATGCAGCTATATAGAAGCAGTAGCTTAAAAAGCATGTGATTCTTCAGAGTCAAATGGAGAAAATGTGCATGGAGAAAACTGAAGAATGATCTACAGTTCTCACTTTTGATTCTATCAAGACCATAGTTTCCATTCTTAGGATGAAAGAAATAGAAGAAACACCAAGTTTCCCCTGCAGTAGATGCTAAAATCATGGCAAACTTCTGGACTGCTTATAATATAGATCAATATCCTACAATATGAGGTAAAACACGCAAATATCCAATAATTTGTAGAGTTCTTAGGTAAATTCCGGTAAGCTGCACAAATTATAACTTCATTTTTGGTGATAAAGGACATATTTCTATATGTATAGAAAATAACTTGAAAGGATACACACCAAAGATATATACCAACAATGGTTAATGGTGTGTTTATGGATGCTTTCTGTTCTTTTTTTGCTCATGTATATATTCTAAGTTTTTACAGTTCCTTAAAGAATAAAAATCAATATAGAAAACTTAAGAGATATAATAAAATTATCCTACTGTTAGATATTTAGGTTGTTTTAACTTTTGCTATTACAAACAGTACAAGCAATAATTGGCTAAAAATGAATTTAAAATTTTTAAGTGACATCTGATTTCAAGATGGCCTCCTCTCTTTTTTTTAAAAAATTGATTTCAGAGAGAGAAAGAGAGAGATAAAAACATCAATGATGAGAAAGAGTCATAGATCGGCCGCCTCCTGCTATCAGGGATTGAGCCCGCAACGTGGCATGTGTCCCGACTGGGAATTGAACCGTGACCTCCTGGTTCATAGGTCAACACTTAACCACTGAGTCATGCCAGCTGGGCCCTCCTCTTTCTTTTAAAAATCACACTAAAGCCCGGCTGGGCGTGGCTCAGCGGTTGAGCATCGACCTAGGATCCAGGAGATCGGGGTTTGATTCCCAGTCAGGGCACATGCCCGGTTTGCGGGCTAGGCAGCCGATCAATGACTCTCTCATCATTGATGTTTCTATCTCTCTCTCTCCCCCTCCTTTCCTCTCTCTGAAATTAATAAAGATACGTTTTTTAAAAAAATAAAAAAATAAAAATCACACTAAAACAATAAGAACAAGAAACAGAAACACAAACTCCATCTGAAATAAAATGAGGTGATGTATGTAGCCCCCAAACACAATATATACAGACAGAAAGCAGATGGAAGAATTTAAATGTCTTAGTAGAGGGGAGGAAGGTGAAAGCTCCCTGTAGAGGAAGATGCTGACCAGAAACAAGCCAATTTGCCCTGCTGAGTGCCAGAAAGGAGTAGGAACTGAGGCATCAGATAGTTCAGAAGTTGGGGTTAAGGACTTGAGGACTAAAAACACAAAGTTTTGAGGTAGATCGTGAAGCCTTTCCCTCAACCTGTAGCAGGCAGGAGGTACAGTCCTTAGAGAATTACATAAGGACAGTTAAAGATTTGATACTAGGTACAAAGAAGGGCAAATATGAGGCATGGCACTGAAAACAAGAGGATTAGTAAAAGTTTGTTACTGAACAGTGAGACCTTAAACTTACTCTCAGTTATACCCTGGAGGATCCTTCTCAGGAGAAAACTACCCAACAGACAAAAGATCTAAAAACACTGGCATTTGGGGGTTCCTAGGAAAGAGCTGATTAATCACCTAACTGCCCTGCAATGAAACTTACAAGTGGGTAAGTGGCACCTATGCACTCAGAACTTTTAGAACCTCCAAGGATCCCTAGACATTTCCAACATGCAAGCAAGACTGAACCAAACAGAAAAAATAAACTCAGGGGCCCAGCCAGTGTGGTTCAGTGTTTGAGCACTGACCCATGAACCAGGACATCAAGGTTTGATTCTGGTCAGGACACATGCCTGGATCGCAGGCTCGATCCCCAGTAGAGGCACGTAGGAGGCAGCCAATCAATGACTCTCATCATTGATGTTTCTGTCTCTCTCTCCCTTTGTCAGAAATCAATAAAAAAAAAAAAAATAATAATAATAAAATAAACTTAGAGGAAATAGACATTGCAGGAAGCAGAAGAAAACTTCAGGGAAACTAAAATTAATATCTTTGGGCAATAAAATAAGAAAAATGTATCAACAATATAAAAAGATGCTATGAGAAAGGGACAATTCTGAGAATAAATGTTGGAAAAACAAAAACACAAAGTGTAACATGATGTGAAAGGAAAAAAGAAAATTAAACAATAAATCCAAGAGGTCTAACATCTCACTAATAAAAATTTGAAGAACAACAATAAAAATGTTGTGAGTTTAGATTTTCAAGATGGTGGCGGAGTATCTGGAACTACAATCACCCAGTCCCAGGACCAAACTGGAAATACAATTAAATTAACAAACAATCATCCTTAATAACCAACTGAAGACTAGCTGAAGAAGAGTCTTATAACCAAGGACTTACAGAAGAAGCCACATTGAGACTGGTAGGAACGGCACAGACTCAAGAAGGGCTGTCCCTGCTCCTATAGGCAGTGGCTGAGGTTCTGGAGGGGTATCTCAGTGGCAAAGGTTCCCCCTGAGAAGCGTGGGGCCTAAATCCCAGGCTGGGCTTCCCAGCCCAAAGTACCAGAACTAGAAAGAGGAGCCCACATAAAATCCAGCTGTGAAAAGCAGCAGGGTTTCTGTCCATCAAGGAGAGATGGAATCCACTAGAGACACAGGCACACTATTAAAAGGCCAATGCAGAAAGTTCATTCACAACCACTCAACCTGGGCTCCAGCCAAGAAAGGGCAAAGCAAACTAGAGTTGCCTGAGGAGAGTCTGGGGTTTGTGGCTCTGGGGAGGGGGCTGGGGGACAGTCGTCAGAATCCCTATATTGAGTCATTCTCCAATACTGTAGTCATCATCTTTTTTGGGTGGAGCACACCCCTCGGAGTGGCATCAACCTGCTCAGAAAGCAACTACCCCACCCTGTAGACTACCTCTCTCCCTACCCTGTGGAAATTAGGCCCTGCTGAGGAGTCAGCTGCCTTGGCTGGGGTGTAGAAGTCTAGGTGGACTCAGTGGGTGTCAGTGACTAAGTGGTCTGACTTTGGGGTACGGGCCATTCCCCCCACTTTCCTATGAGCCTGACCAATGCTGCCCTTTCACAGGAGATCTAATAAAACCACCCTCCCGGCTTCCAGTAGACCCAACCTCTGGGCTCTGGAGGCAATGGATTGCTGCCTAATGGCTCTGCCTCGCCGAGGTTGGGGCAAAATCTGGGACTGACCGTGTCCTACAGTTCTGGGGCAGGGACCATATCCACCACCTTCCCTGAGCCTGAACAGCACAGCAGCTGCCCTTCATGGGAGGTCCCATAGCCACATCCTCCCAATTCCATCAAAGGCTCTTTCAGTAACTGAGCCTAACAGGCAGGCAGCAGGTGGAGGCAGGCATAGGCGGATCTTGGAGTGCCTTGGGACGTTTGCTGACCTGACATCGGGCCCAGTGCTGATAAAAGCTGGCCTGCGAGTGCAGCCTGGTCCTTCCCCCATGTGCACCCAAGCACAGCAGAGGCAGCCACAAACTGTGGATTGCATGTAGCTCCAAACAGGTTGCTGAGGGCCAGGCACAGACAACATCAGACACTGGTCTAGATGAGAGGCCCTCCAAAGAGGCCCAGAACCAATACACCAAGTGACCAACTTCATACAACATCAAAGCAGGATCCAATCAATTTCACAAACAGCATATGCAAAGGACGACTGCAGCAGGCGCTAAACCCTACTGAGAAGAATATCACTTTTTTCTTTTTTCTTTTTTGGTCAACACTTACACAGCAGCTCACACTTTGTGGTCAGAATTGAGCTTCAGTCAGCAGGCCTGAGGATTGATCCAACCCGCAAATGGGCCAACAGACATCAAGACTCAATTACAGCTCTGGCTGGTGCAGTTCAGTTGGTTGGAGTGTCATCCCGTACTCTGAAAGGTTGTGGGATCGATTCCCAGTCAGGGCACATACCTAAGTTGTAGGTTCAATCCCCGGTTGGGGTGCATATGGGAGTCAACCAATCAATGTTTCTCTCTCTCATTGATGTTTTTCTCTCTCTCCCTCCATCTCTCTCTAAAAAAAAAATCAATAAATATATCCGAGGGTAAAGATTTAAAAAAAGACTTAATTACAACAGA